AAAAAGATTAACACTCTTTCTTAATGCTTTTAAAAAATGAAATTTTCGACAGAAGATACAAAAAGGAAATATCTACCTGCACATTGCCTAATCCATGAATGACTATTTTCTTCCTATTATTGATAATATTGATGCCTTTAAAAATCCTTTTCACTCTAACTGTCGCAGCCTGCAAATAGAACAAAAATAATTGTTATATGTTGCATAAGTCAATTGCATTCAAAGAAAATTATCTTTTCTATTACCAAAGAAATGAAATTAATGTAATGAAAATGGGCCAGAAAAGAATGGTTTGACTGTATAAAGTGAAAATATTTTGAATGTATAATTATGGCAGTTAACTTTATTGTATCTCTGCAATCAAAATTATCAGACTGTAGAAATATAAAAAAATGAAATATCCATCTTTTCAAAGTTTAGAAAATTTTTGAATAAACTGCAAATAAAAATGCTTGTGATAAACAAAGTAGAAGTGTTGTTTAAACAAGATGATGATCAATGATAAATTGCTCGACAAGTTAGTAATAGAAGGTGGCAAGGACAATCGTAAGTTATGGGAATCCATCTGTGCTAAAACCGAACCCATTATTATTTTCCTTTTTATTTCTGAATAAATTAATTCAAGCAATACACAAAAAAGTATTCAAATAAATAAATAAATGTATTTGTTATTTTAAATACTTGCATGATTGAACTGTTTCTTTGCTTATTTGTTATCCGTTTTCGTACTTTTTTTACAAACATGTTATCCAGAAGAGAGCTAATAGCTGGCTGCAGACATCGATCTCATGAGGAATAGATGAGCTCTAGGTTTTAGAAGACAATTATCTGCTTTTATAGAAGAAAAAGTGCAGTCACAATGAACTGAGCAGCTTTTCAATTTTAGATATATCATTTGGATAGGATTTACTGTAAATAATATATATTTTTGATATCAATAGAAGATCCTAAATTGAAAATAAAACCTTAACCAAACAAAGAACCAATAATGAATCTTCCTTTACAAGTATGCGTAACAATTATGTGACCCTGACTGGGGCAGATAACGTCCGATAAATATCCGGTTATGCAGGATAACTGTTATAAACTCGATCTTCTAAAAGTTTAAGCACTCAAATCAATAGTTTATTCTTTCGGTATAGCATACCGCCTATTGATTTGGGTTAACTGCTACGAGACTCAGTTCTATATTGTGTATTATCGAAAGCTTTTTTGTTTGTCAAAGAATGGGGGAGAAACATAACCAAGAAAGGACGGAAGAGAGGAAAGGATGGTACTTAGCAAGGTGAGAATTAGTGGATCAAAGGTTAGGGATAAAAAGAATGAAAGGATAATCGTTTGAACGGATAAAATTTGCATAAGCAACAAGCACAAATAGTTCTGTGAAGCGAAGAAAAACGCCTCTCCCATAAATGAGTAAAACATTTGTGAGGGAAGTGAGTCATTTTAGAATAACCATTTATTTTACTATTGGCAGTGCATGAAGCTAAGAAAAGAGTTTTTTAAAAAATTTCTGGATGATATGGATTTAATGATTTTTGAAAATTATAGTTGTAGTTATTTGGTATCAACATAAGTTGAATTAAAAATTAATTTGGAGATTTAACTAAGCGTTTGAGTAAAAAAAGAGAAAAATTGTTCAAAAGTACCGGTAAACGGTTCTAACTAGCCTTTAAGTTACGAACGGTAAAGAATAATTAAATCTCAAATTACCTGCAGGCGATTATCCTTGGGATCAGTGGTGACATTTAATACAGTGGCACTTATTACAAGTGGTACACTCTGTAGCGAATCGTTGAATTTCGCGGGATCAAATACGCAGCTATGAGATTCATGAGAACTTAGTGTCCCCTTTATTAATGATAGCAATAGTAACCGGACAGGAATTATCATCAGTAACATCCGGCTATTCGATCTCTATCTAGGAAGTCCTGACCAGTTCAAACCCAACACCTTTGGTTAATAGCCCAAAGATGTCAAGGAGGTGAAAGACTCCGCCCCAACTCCATCCAACCCGACACACCCACAACGATATTGAACAAAAGGAGTTCTCTGGTCTGTGGGGACCAACGATATGTCTGGCCATGTGATTGTTGATTTTGGGACATATAAGGGAAACCAAATTTTAGTTTCTCCAATTTATATGAAATCTGGAGCTTTATCACAAGTTCAGATTTTTGCCTCTCAAAGTTATATTGTCCTAAAAAGTACCTCGAAACCCGATACTTTAAAAAAACTGTGGAAATGTCGCAGTTGTAGACTCTTTCTCGTTCTTACTATCGATGCAGCATTCAATCTTGCATTTAACAAATTAGGATAAACAGATTATTTTCAAGATCCCAGTCAAACCATTCATGATTTACTCATCTTACCTACCATTTTATGAATAAATAATTCATATTCTTTCCGATGTACCTTGAAGATAGGGTAAGATATTATGGATACATCTGAATGAACATTATAGCTCAAAAAAATCAAATGAAAACAATTAGACATAAGTCAGTTTCATCCGAGTTTTCAAGAAATATTTCCAAATACTTTCAAAGAAAGTGATTGAAGAAATGTTTGTGCTATGATTGAAGTAATGATTAAAGCGAAGATAACATTGTGATAAAAATGTGATTATTTGCAACTGCTGAACTGTGTTATTCTACCATATTTGAAATAATGGATTAATTTGAAAGAATAAAAGAGCAAAGGACACCATAAAAAAAAGAAGGAATTACTTAATTCTTTTAACAATACTTTAAGTAGGAATACTTATCACTATATCAGTTTTAGTGCCAATAAATAGTTAAGAAAAAACATCAACAAAGTAAGTTGCTTAATCAAGCTGTACAAATTTCTAAAAACCAAAGGGACTCAAGGCAATTAGAAAGAAGTATGCAGGCGCCAAGAAGGTGAGGTGAATAAGATTAGATCAGTAATTATCTTATTTTTCAGCTAAGAGTTTACCATAAAACATTTTCATAATAATTTGATATCAGGCGATAGGGATTATGATTCAAAACTATTTAATTGCTATGTATTTTTTTTTTTTTTATATATTTCAAATTCCTGTGCGCAGTTTCAATTATCGATAAAAGATCTGTCAATTTTGTCACCCAAAGGATAATAAAATTATTTTGATAATTGGTAATAATGATATAGCAGATCAACGGTATGATACCACAAAATCAGTATGTAGAATTTCATGGTTTGAAATGAACAATTGAGACAGAAATTTGAGCGATGCCCACAAAACAAAGTGGAATTTGAGATTTAAATATGAAAAGGTGTCCATATATGACACATCTGGAAATTACTTTGCTATGATTTCTCGTCAAGTTATCTCGCATTATCTACTGAAGCAAATATGAAAATTTTCAAACAAAAAAAATATATACACACATGCTGAAGAAATTCTTAAAAATTTAATTTCTGATAAAAATATCATGAATTTATGAATCGTGAAACTTTATTTATATTAAAAAATACGGAATCACGATAGACTTCTAGTCTATCCCAGTTGAAAATAAACAATGCATATTCAACAGCAAGGAAGTGTTCAGCAAATGCCTGTTTTAACTCATTTCCCAAATCGGCACGTCTTTCACTAACCTCCTTATTTGTTAATGTCAATTTTCAGAAGAGAAATACCCAACAATTTGTCAATTTACTAAAATCAGTTTTAATATCTGACTTCTTTCCATTATATTACATAGATACTGTGGAATGAAATCACCTTTTTCATGACTTCAAATTGCTTATCATACAGTCCAGTCTTTTCCCTAGTTGCCCCTTAATAAAACTGGAGTACTCGAGTTCCTCTCCCCCATTACACTGACAAGGAGCATATATATTTGCAGAAATATAAATTGAGAAATGACTGCAGTTTGCATAAATAGAAATTGATGATATTATGCAAAATCACCCCAACTCGATACACTTAAAAATTCGCATTTTGAAAATTTACAACATGATGCCCAAAATTTATCCATTTGGAAAACTTATATCAGCACTTATCAATTTGCAAGTATGTGACAACAAACAGAATCACAAAGCCATTCAGAAGTACCAAAGATAATCAACGTTAAACACTATTGGAGACCAGAAATTCCATCTAATATCTCAACCACCGTTTCTGCAAGATCATTTCATTACCACTATGAAAGAACATAAAGAAGCTTGAAATAAAAATACCAAAGTGAAACTTTGCACAACATCAGAATTTAAAGTTTTCCGTTGTGGAAACAGCTACAAATGCAAATGATGATAAAACCGGATTAAAGAAGAGAAATAATATGTCAATTAGGATAGAGGCTAGCCCAGTAACATATAGAAATTAACAAAGACAACGATAGACTGTATGATTCATAAGTTTGAGTAGAATCCGACCAAAAAAGCAAAATGGAAAATTCGCTTCGAATAATGAAGACCTGCTTACTGCAGTATCGCTTTAGTACAATTCAATATCGCTACAGTCCTTCAGGAATGATTCCGGATAGCATAGAAAAGTAATAAGAAAAACACACCTATTTGCTTCTCGGCAAATAAAATGCATAATGTATAAGGCAGAAATAGAATCACAAAATACAGATGAAAAGCATCATGAAATCAGGAAAATGGCAATGAATTCCCAAGAGAGCACATTTTCATTCTCAAATTCAACTAGAATTATAAACTATTTTAAAAGAAGTTGGAATAAGAGTCATTCAACAGCATACAACCGAAATTTCACTGCTAAAGATAATGTTAAATTATAATCGAGAAGCTCCTTTTTGTTACCAATCTGAATGAAGACATATACCTTTTCAACCTCGAATTCGTGACAGCGAAAAATACGGTAATCAGATATTCAACATTCAAAACTGTCCGCAATCGCTGGAATGAATTGGAAATATCCAAAAAATTAAAATTATTCAACACAAACAATATCTTCATAAGAAACAATGAATGACCTCGAAGGTGAAACTACAAATAAAAACTAGCAAGGACAAAAAAAAACTGTGCAACTAAAATTATGTTGAGATCACTTTAGCAGATACAGGACAGCCGTTGTTATGATGTTCCTGAAGCAGTTGCCTTAGCTGAGCAATAGATGTTTCCAAAAGTTTAAGATCCTCATTCAAACGACTCGCTCTAAGCTTCTCTTCCTCCACCTGCAACAAAACGAACAAACAAATCCTTCCACACTTCAACAAAATAAATCCTTTGAAAATTTATAAAAAACACACTTGCAATGATACCAGACGACCAACAAAATTATTGTGCTTTTGTTTCTAAAATTTAATCTTTTCTTTGTCCACTTTAAACTCAGAAATCGAATAAACAAAAAATCTTTAAAATGTAATACAGTGTGTGGCAACAGTACTCAGCATACAAAGTACATAAGATATTTTTTTTTCTATATATTGGAGCAGGATATTTCAACGCAATTACGACCATCCTCAATCTCAAACATTTAAACATTTAACATTTATTATCGTGACATTAATTCTACTCATTGCTTCTGAATACGTCAGATATTCCACTAGAAAGTCTAAATATAAGACAAAACAAACAGCTAATTGTAGAAATTATCTGCTCCATGATTCTGCACAAAAAATGTAGAGAAAGGTAGTTCGAAATGATCTGCACAAAAAATGTAGAGAATGACAAGGTAGTTCGAAAAGATTAATTCCAGTTAAACGTAATCCATATAGACTTGGTATTTCCAAGATGTAAAATTACTTGATTCATATCAAACTTCTGAGCACGCGCAAATTTGAGGAGGTCACAGTAAAAAAACATTCATATTCTTGACAAACTACAACTAACTAAAGCATAAATTACTTTGTCAGTAAAATAAACAAATAAAAAAGGCCTTCTAAAAAAATAATAATCATTATATACCAGACCTGTTTCTCGAGATCATTTATTTTTTGCAGTTTCTTCTGCCTACATTTTGATGCCGCCAGACGGTTACGTGCTCTCTTTCTTTCCAGCTTCTTCTTCTCCTGTTCCAGTGCATCATAACTATCACCACTGCAAAATGTATTGTCTTTTAAATATTCGGATTTCTCACATTACAGGAAAAATGCGGCAAATCACCTCACAAAATGTGGCCATCCTCCACTTCGATTTCATTTTCCGATTGAACTTCAGTTTTTTGAATGAAGACAGAAGATGTGAAACGGACAATTAATTAGTGATAAGGACCAGGCTTGACCAGATATCAAAATAACACATGTATTGGAGTTTTTGTTAAAAATATTTATATAACTTTGTATATTAATGATGCTCATCCGTGAATCTGATCGACGACAAAGTTTCCCAACAATTTTTAACTTATCTTATGAAAGACAGGTTGGAAGTTGGTTTTTTGTCTAAGTCTGTCGATTGGAGTCTTTTCACATATGTCACCATATATTTATACTCACCTATCACTGACTCCTTATGCTGCAGTACGCTACCAAAAATTTCTTTAGCCAATGCATTTTTTCCAACTCAAAACGGATTTGAGTCCATATAATTGAATACATAAGGAATTTGCTGCTCACGGAATGATATTTAGCCAGAACATTCATACGGTTTAAAAAATTTTCAAAAAAAATTATCCCAACTTCAGTACACAAAACCGAACAGAAACACCTTACAGATCTATTGGCCTGACCTATAAATCCAATTTTAACATAATAGTTTCAAACTATTATGTTCAAATATTCAAGAAAAAAGCTTATATTATAATAAAGAAATTTCAAGGACAAATTCGAAATATTTCATATTAATATTAAAAATATTGATAGGTACATTCTTTTTACATTTTAAAGCAGACTATCATTCTTCGTATTTGCAAAGAGCATCTTCATAGTTAGAACTATTCTTTATTTCTTCCATTCTAATCAGATGCTCCTGTGACATTTTAAAACACTTTACCTCCATGTTTTAACTGCAGTGCCTAGCTTAATTATTTCACTTTCTGTTTTTCTTGATGCTTTTTGATAAAAGTTAAAGCTAAGACAGAAATGCACAAAAGAGATAGAAAATTTAAGGCTGAAGTGGGAAGAAACTATCACGAGAACATCAAATCAGCAAGTCAGCAAAAAAACGAAAAAAATCAGCAAGCACATATATATATATATATACCATCCGTTAAGAGCATAATAAAAACTTGTTTCACACCAAGTGCATTCAAGAAAATTTAAACAAAAAACTTCTAGACTTGCTTTGCCCCGAAAATGAAAATTAAATCGCAAAAGGAAACGTACGAGAATGGACCCATGAAAACATGCTCTTCTTGACTTCTAGGACTAGCACTCGAACGTATAGATGATGTACATGCTTCCATTTCATGATTGCTTTCACTAGTTGTATAAGCATCATAAGTTGATGCATCGTTAATACTTTCCGACTGCAGGGATGTTACCGAACTGCAACCTGAAATTACGATGTTTCGGAGGAAAATAACAATGTTGCAGTTGATAGCACAAGCCATATTCAAAAGAAGGTTGCTGTACGTACAATATTGGTTAAAAAAAAGGTATGTATAGCGGTATTAATAAGTTAACAATGAACCTGGTAAATCATTTTTCATGGCTATATCATCAGGATACACAACAGCTGTAGTGGTTGATGATGAACCAACCGATTGTTGATGCACAGAAGCTGTTGTTGTTGCTGCCGTAGACGACGTTGCCACAGCATAAGGGGTAGCAAGTTGGGTTGGAGTTAACTGGGTAAAACTATAACCCGCAAGCGAGCCCATACCACTCATAGCTGCCTGCATTATTACTGACAACGATTCCCTGAAACAAAGAACTTTGATAAAGAAGCAAAAAAGATGAAATCTTTTTACATAAGGATACACAATTTAAAGACTGGATAAGTGAAGGACAGCGAAATGTTTAACTGAAGAAGCACATATCTTTTTTAGAAAACGAGAAACCAAGCATTCAAATGAAGTTTAGATAATTGAAAATGGGAAAGAAAAATGTTTATTCCAAAAAATGGGTTTCAATCAGATCTACCATTCAGATAGATGCATGAATAATTCAAGAAGTGAAGATCGAAAGTGTGACAAAAAAGTTAATCGCCTTCAACTTTTCATAAATAACATGACTAAAACGATCTCCCAAGCCATCAAAATCGAAACTTTTCTTAAATAGGACTGAAGGTAGTAAACGATAAAGAGAAAAAGTATATAGTAATTATAAAAGCAAAAGCAGAGAGAGGAAAGTATCAGTCACTTAGCAGATAATATAAGCAGGCCAGGCAAGTATCGTTAAACTTAATACATATTAGAGTCAGGTGTGAAAATCTGGGACTACATATCAATGATATGAAGCAGAAAAGATGATGCTGCACTAAGAATGCACAGAAGCGACATATTGTCATCAGTTCTCAAAGGTAATTAGAAATATTTGAGCCAAGATTAAGAAGCTTATTCCTGGATGGAACCATCATGCACTATAAGGTATGGGTGCAGTGTCTTTGCCAGATGAGGGAGAGGTGTAACATGCAAAGTTGCAGCTGGTACTGTTGCTGCTTGCTGATTCATCAAGCAAAGCAAGCCAAAACAGAAGAGAAATGCATTTGTGTGCGTTTTTGTGGAGAATGAAATTCGAACGGTCCGTGCGCACTTCCGAGGAGTGCAAAGAGAGACGGGCGGAGCGGAAAGATGGAATGGAGAAGGCGGGGGCGACGAACAAGCAATACACAGCACAGGTGTGTTATGATGCTGCTAGTCCTGTTCCCTTGTACCCTGCCTTGTACCTCTCTCTTCCTCCTCCAACAACAGCTGCAGCTGCACATCTACAGCACATCTCTCCCCTCTGCAATAGCTAGACAGTCTCCTACAAAATCCCACTTGACAGGCAGAAACAGTACAGCAGTCACATCTCCGTTCCTTTCTCGAGTCTCGTCATATATGCTGCCCCTAGCGCTGCTCTAGTGGTTAATAACTCTTTGATGTTATTATTCGAACAAATTGTTATCTCAGAAATACTTTACTCCTTGTGAATTTCATCCGAAAACATTTTCACCACTACCTATATTACGCTGAACTTCTGCAGTATAATATAGTCTCTCCACTTAATCCTCATATTCCAATTTCTTCAAAACCAATAACTGGAAGACACAAATATTTCTACATTGAATACAAAATGGCATTTATAAACTGTCTCTTTTTCCATATTGTTTAAGTAGAAGCAGAGTTAAGATGGCTGTCAAAACCAAATCATAGATTCTGCCTTTAAAAGTACAGCAGCACTGGGTAGAAGCAGCTTACAAGCAGCTAATAAGGAAGGAAACATATTCTTAATAAATTAAATAAACGAAGCCAGTGAGAGAATTGTAATTAGGAGAAAAATAACCTTTTCAGCAACAAGTTCTCTTGCCAGCTTGTTTTCTTTAAGAAATCAAACTCCAGCCAAAAAACTGGTAGAATTCAAAATTTTTGAGATTACCTGTTTGGACTAGTTAGCACAGGGCTTGTAACCGTTTTCGTTTGGTCGTTATTACTAGTTGATGCGGCAACTGACTGAAACAAAGGAGCCAGAAAACTCGGGGAATTGAGAAGTGCTGGTGATGGCACAAATCCGTTCAACTGTTGCACCTGTGTCAATGCATCTGAAACATCTTTGTTGTACTCCTAAATGCTTCCTTTACCGCTCAATCGTTCGATAACATCAAAAGTTTGATTTTCTTGAATAAAGAGCTGAGCGGGGAATGCTGGATCGAGCATACAGTACCATCAAACAGGCCATTATCATTGTTCTTCGAGTTTATTTCAAAAATTGAAAATAGAATAACGAAGTAGTGTTATGATTGAGTAATCAAGCTTTATGTCTATGCTGTGATATATCGAAATATATTTTCTATTTTTAATTTAGGAAATAAATTCACTAGGCTTTGCTGTTTCATTCCAATTCATTTGTTGTCAAATTATTTATGAAATTAATTTGATAAAAAAAGTCAGTTAAAGTGATATACAATGATCTTTGGAAGTTGAAAAAGCTAGAACGAATATTTGGAAAAAATGCAACAAAACAAGAATGGAAGTCATTTGTATAATCCACCTATCTCTCTATGACAACAGTCTGATGGGAAGTCCCAACAATCCATGTATAATAGAGAATATCCTTTCCAGGATTTATTTATATTAATGATGCTGTTGTACTTCTAATGACAATGAAAACAAATGCAGCAACTGAGAAGTGTCTTTTTTGTAGAAACATGAAGAATTTCATTAATTGAATACAAGCAAGTGCGCTAAGTGATAGAATATGTAAACTCTTAAAGTAAAATCAATCGTTCCTAGAGAGCAATGAAGTAGCGAAGTATCTCTTACAAAGCTATTTCTAAACTTTGAAAGCGGTAAACAAGTAACACAAATTGATTTTACTTCAAAATCGGAAATCTTGAAAAGTTTGGATGTTTTAACCTGTTGTCAGAATCACTTAAGCTCTCAAAACCCAAAACCAAGTTTTTCCCTTAATCTACTAAAAGAAACTTCATCCCCAAAACTGATCCGGAAAAGACAATTGTTAATATCATCTAAGCAAGAAGGATAGTGAGAGAGAGAGAGAGAGAGCGGTATCAAATACATAAAAAAAAAAAAATCACTAACAAATTAGTCTATATGATTATCACAGGAGAACTACGCAAGACTTCGACGAAACAGATAACGAACACATCGAAAATCACTTTTGAGCTTACGAGAGAAGTGACGGAAAAACATTTGATAACAATAACGGATAACGATGTCTACAACAATTTAGGAGATGGTAGACGTAAGATTGGTTATAAATATAATAATGAAAAATAAAATTAGATTTAATATATCTACGACACATTTCTAAGATTTTTTTAAACAAACTTTTTAACAGAAATAACAAACTCTTCTACAGCATGAATATGATCTCGCCGACAAATGTACTTCAGGTTGCTTCAGTTCATACTACAATCTATCAACAAATTTTTCTGCTTCATATGGGAAATATTGTTTTAATTTTATGATAGTTCAGTAGAATGTAACAAGCCGCACTCTTCTTATACAAAATAGTGAATAACTGTTCATATAATCTAGTAATATTTGTGAAGGAAAACTATCTTAATCTTCTTAGGGAGATTTCAGAAAACAAACAACCTGCTGCCACTGTAAAACAGCGGTAAAGTAGAATGAGAATAGGAATAATTGATAGAATTTCAAGTTTTGGCAACTAAGTCAATAAAATTATAACTCAGTTAATTTTCTTACCAATAAAACCTTGAGCATACTGTCGCTGTGCCAATGTAACTTCAGAAGGATATAATAATTTCGTTGGGGTCGGCGTAGTTGTACCTATAGTAAACAATAACTTTACAAATAAACACGTTCAATGTTAAAAACAAATCAGTAGGTTGGCAAATGTTCAAATTCATAAAAACATGAATTTCAATGATATATATATTTTTAATAGTATTATAAATCTGACTTCATCTAGCCATATATTCAAGTAAAGTTTTCTGAGCCAATTCCGAAAGCTTATATAAAGCAGTAACGAACATTTAAAGATTAATAAAATATTAAATCTTACCTTGGGAAAACATTTTCCCTATCGTTGGTGATGCTTTGATGATATCCAACAGATCAGCACTAATTACTTGTTTTTTTGATGATGTAGGGGACGAGAAATCGAGATGCATGCTGTTTTTTAGCTGTTTTAATGATGCTGTATTCGTTGTCGACAAATCGGTAGTTGTTCCGGCTGCAGAAGATGGCATTGTTGACATTTCTTTTCAGGAATCCTAAAAATTTAAGAACATCGGACAAAGTAGTGCTCAGTAACAAAAAAATCCGGAAAATTAAGTCTTTTCAAGAAATTATAAGAAAGGTATGAAAGGCGTCGAAGTAATGGCTTGGATATCAATGAAGAGGTTCAAGAACAACATACTTAACTTATTATTTTGAAAGGATATAAAGTATCAAACATTCCCTATTTCAGGACAAAACAGTTGCTAATGTTTAAATTATGAACAATAACATAGCAGGAGTTTTCAAAACTAGAAATTTTCTCAGTATAGACAAAAAAATTTTTCTTTCTTATAATTAGATTACAATAACAAAGATATATTCAAGTTTGGTCAGATCAGTCTTTTATATGAAGGAAGAAACTTCTCCAGATATTCTATTAGTTAATCTTCTTGCAATATATGGATTATCGTATTAAAGATATGCCATATGAAATAGAAAACTAAGGGAGATTTGCTTGAAATTAATAAAGTTTTGAAAGAAAACCTTCCACTTTCGAATAATCCATAATGTCTATCTGATTAGGTCATCACAGCAGTTTCTTGCCTCACCTTGCATTAGAAGCAAAACTTGACTCAGTTCATCCCGGGATTCTACACCAGCATAAGTAATCAAATCAGATAACAACACTGAGATGGCAGTTTGCATAGTGGCCCATTATTCGCCCTGCTCATTACGTAAACAAATAGTAAGGAAATGGATGTTTGGTATTGTCAGGGGTTGCCCATAGTGCCGCGTGACATTTACGTGGTCTGGCGTGTGCTACGGCTACAGGGACGCGGATGTTGAGTAAAATGTGACATATATGGAAATGATTAAATCTTACTGAAATCTTCTAACACTCTGATCTAAACTCCTCTCTGCATCGGATAACTAACGAAAAATCTCTTTAGGATGTCAACAGTTTAGCGTGAATATCATTTATGAAGCTAATATTTAAAATAGACAAATTTCACGAAAGATGAAATTTTACTACTCGTAATAAGCTCCTAATGAAAGAGTTAAATAAATAAATGAAAAGGCATGAAAAATCGATGTCCATTATGCAAAGCTATGGCCAGCCAGATTATTTCGAGAAGGAAATGACAGCTTAACACTTGCAACAGCCATTCTTAGCGGATGCTTTTTGTTTCACAGAGTCAAAAGGGACCCAAAAACACTGTCAGCGTACACATGCTTCACACGGATACGTATAGCAGATGATCGGTCACGCGCATACAGTTCACTGAAGAACGCCAGTAGAGATATACTCGACGGTGGTTGGTGCTGTGCTGTGTCGGTTCAGCCTGAAATGGGATGAGTCAGTGCGGAGTCAGTTGGAGGGGTGAGTCATGCTCTCTGGTGTCCTCCACAAAGTATGCGATCTTTCGAATGGTCGGTAGGTACACTCTACTTACAAGCTATGCTATTCCCCTTCTCGCACTTCTTCAACACTCTCCGCATGACGTCATCATTTTTAAAACAGTTCCCACTTCTATCGTTTCCAATTTTCATCTCTTCTTGTATGTGTGTGAAGATAGAGGTGTTATCAGTGATATGGAGGAGAGATCATTGATGAGTTAGAGAGCGACGAAAGGTACGGAGATTTAGTGATTCAATGAGTATTTATGAAACGAAGATGACATGACGATGCTCAATTGTGTTCGCATAACTTTCTTTCATTACACAGCATCGTCTATTTTACTCGTAGAAAATGACGTAAATTCATATCTATAAAAAAGCAAGGAACATAAATAAATATAGTAGTAACCGAGTATATCAGTGTAGTTTTGTTGAATTAGATAAACCTAAGTAGACATACACACTGCTAGGAATCGTCGATCAGTGCTACCATATGTCGTTACATACTGCGCATATTGCATCCTCAAACTAATAAGTTTATCTACCATATTTTTTTAATAAGTATCTACCATATTTTTACTATGCGGTAAATTCCTTTAAAACCAATCACTTATTCTGCTGTGTTCAATTATATATTCCCTCCATTCTGTTATGTACTGCTACGCTCACCCCATCCCACTACTAAAACTGTTTGATGATAATTCATGAATTCCCGATGTAGACATCAAATAATTCTATCATTTAAACTATCTACAGACATTTCTTTCGTAACGCCCATCAAAGCATTCAAACTGATGAACTATGTAAGTAGAAGATAAGGAAAGTATCAGTAGCTCGGAAGAGCAACACGAAGCATTTTTTCAACGTTTGTATCACTACAGTGGTAATGGCGCCACGTCATCATGCGGGGAATCAAAGTGTTAGGCGATGAAAAGCAGAAAAAAGGACTTGAAAAAGTTTTTTCGTCTGTTTTACCTTTCAAGAGACTTTATTGAAACAAAGACAGGTAGAAAAGAAACAGAGAAACAAAGGAACATACGAACAGAAATATCGTTTGTCGAAATAAATCTTTGAGGGGACCGGACCGGCCTTATCGATAACGTTGCCGGGTAAAACTCGTCGTCAGGTGACTAAACAGCCTTATATGCATATGTAATTTGTAAACGAAGTGAAAACCTCTTGATTGCAAACCGATAGCTAATAGTGGTTGTTGTCTGAATGGAAAAAAGAGCAAAATAAATAGAAACCATTTGCAGCGGTGCTCATTGTTATTTCCACAATCTATTTATATGACCATAAATAAGTATGTAATCTTAAAAATCCTGAACAAAAATACTAACACTAAAAACAGTTAGTAATCAATGCTAGTTTATCAAGACTAAAATATATATTGTTCGTGGAAAATCGTTGTTGAATGAGAGATGAACTTACGAACATACTGAGTAGTAAGTGGAATGTGATGTGCAGGATGAAGTTGTTAAGGATAGTATGAATAACATGTAGGAGGAAGTCAAATGATGACAATTAAACAAGGCGACAAATATGAACAGGATATTACCGCAGGGATATTTTTTGAGAGAAACTAGATATAGATGATGAATCATTCACTGGAACTACTTGAATTCATTGAATCCATCTTCACATAGCAGCTTTTTCCTTAATTGTTTTTCTTTCTCAAACGAAGATGATAATAAATAGATGGCATTCATGAGAACTTCTTCAAAAGCACAAGTTGCCTTAGTTAGTGATAAAATAAAATGGAATAGTTTCTCATGTTATACGTCACTATTACTAGTATTGCCAACAGTTCAATCTGAGCTTTCAAAGATCATTGCTTCAAGATATTCTCATCTTCATTTAAATAGTTAATGACACCAATAAGTATGGCGCTACATTATTCCTTCGGAAATGCTTCTGAGATATCAATCTGATCACAAAGTAATCTGGAATATTCTCAAAATGCATTTGAAATGTGAATGTATTCACTTATGACTTGAAATTTCAAACACTGTACTTTTTGTAGGTTATAGGGGAAATTACCTACCTAATAGTTTAATAACTGCAATTGCTATCTTGTCCAATATTATTAGAAATTAATTTTTGCAATTTTGCAACATCATAGCTGCGAGGGGATGGATTTGTCAAGCGTAAGAATCATTACACGTTTGGTTCACCTAAAGTTATAAAGATCTAAGAAATCTATGCACTAAGAATTTTAGATAACTGAACAGTGGGCCACTATTGAAAACTTATCAAGAAACTCATTTCTGACTTGGACTTTCAAATGGTGCATCTTTTCAAGGTCGCAGGAAATTCTGATATCTTGTTCGGAACTGTCAGCAATTACGTCCTGAATTTAGACACTCAAAACATTTTTTTTTCTTTCAAGCAACCAGCCTTTTTTTCCCATAGACTTATTGCAAACTTTCAAACTATTAAACAGTGGTAGTGTTATTTTTACTAAGTTATTTAGTCTTACCTCCAAAATCATTAAATACATTGCTACCCTTTACTTTCTATTTGTTTGTTACGATTACGAGACATGATGGGGATGAAACATTCCGTGAAGAACTGTATTTTTAGAAAAAATTTTTAAAAAGATTTGAGTTAATTAAGTAGACTGAACTAACTCATGTTACAGGAGTTTTCCTAATAGGCAGTTCGCAAAGTAAATCTGCGTAAATTTTTATGTCAAACTTTTGACTATGTTCATTAGAGAAAAAACTTTCCAGAATTAAAAACAAATGATATTTACTGCAAAAGGAGTTGATTGATATTAATATGAAAAAGAAAGAAATCACCGGTAAAAACGCTTGGGTGATAAGGAGTAATGACAAACAGACAATGGCTAAGAGACATTTATCAATAATTTAACAAATGAGAAGTTCAAACTGAACCTTTATTTAAAGAAGGTATGAACAAAAAAGCGTTTACTGAGATCAGCATAAATGCAGAAAGACAACTCATACGAAAAATTTCTTTTTTTGTAAAGTTCCATCCTCAGGTAAAGAGTTAAAGACTTCTGAATTTTATATCCTAAAACTGACTTATTTCCGTCTTTTTTCTAATCGATGATGAAGAGAATTTCTTCCTAGACTCTACTTTTGCTTCCCGAAACGCTCATCCTTCCTTAAGACCAAATCAATGAATAAAAGTTTATTTAATGAGTATTCAACACTGCATTAAAGCAAAAAACAACGATTTGAGTATAAGAAAATGTTAGTAAAAATAAAGAGAAAATGAGAAAATAAGAAAAAACAAAACTCATTAAATTTTTTTCCTGCGCGATCGAGAAGTCGGGATGGAAGCCAAAAATTTCTTATTACTTCCAAAACCAAATAACACATAATTACCTTTCGTTTCTTTCTCTCATACTATTACTGATATTACATATAATAACATCTACTAGCTAGCATATACATGGTGAAAATTACAGAAAATATACATCGGTTGTTTACAACAAACTTTATCGAGTGTTTGAAGCTATCACTATTATGAAAATTTAAGACGCTATCCAATACCTACCTACGTCGCAGTAGCGTACATTAAAGATCAGTTCTGAAATTTCTTTAAAATAATTCTCCGAACAGACGATAACTTAAAAAATTTTAATTTGTAGCGTATAGCCTTTTTCTTAGAA